AGCAGTAAGCAGTCGAAACGTCGCGATCTACATCTAAAGTGACTACATCGTGTGACAAACGATAATACACGATCTACCACGATGAATAATAACAACCTTTTCCTCGACAGTATTCCGTTTGTAACAGATTATCCACCGAGACCTGGCAGCTCCAAATGTATTAACTGTTGAAAGAAAACCGAGTAAAGTGACAGACTTTGGAATGGTCAGAGATGTTCAACAGGTCAACATTTATGAAAAAACGACAAAGGTAACAAATTCTAAGAATAGAATATCAATGATAAATTAGTTGGGTAATCAGGTGATCTCACGAGCTATCATTTGCTGCCTGTCGCTCCACAGTTTCACACTCACTGTGCATAATGTCATTGTTTATTATATGATCGAGAAAATTACTTCATTGTGACTGGCTGATCGCAGGTCAATTTATCGTTAATTCTTAATTTGCACTGCAGCGCAAATTAACGTTCAATTTTCTGTGTCATATAATCAATGAGTAATCGTATAAAAGCTCAAGCAATTAAGGATTTACGCTACTCGTGATATTTGGAAATTCTTTCAAATTGCACTCGCCTAAGGGCTCGTACAATTTGGAGAGAAGTGCCAAATATCACTGGTAGTGTAAATCCCTGGTTGCACTCGCATTCATACGATTTCCTATACTAACTGAATTCTACTTGCCCAGTATTTGAAACGCGAAAATTTTAAATCTTCGCGTAATTCCTCACGAATTGCGTCCTACAATCGTGGACAGAAGTCCTTGGGACACTTATTTAATTTAACGAATTGTATGTGTTTTACTATTGAAGTTTGAAAAAAGCGCTGCTTTCCTTTTAAAAACGCGTTACTGTTCCCCCTCCCCACCCCATACAATTGTACGGGGTGTGGGGCGCGAGGTTAGGCAGGTGAAGTTATATTCGCGTCTGGCGTGTCCACAAAAGCGCCAAAAGCGCAAATTTGTCCTAAGACTTTTGTCCCTGATTGTATGTTTGTAATTATTGGCCCAAAACCTCAGGTAGGATTGAGTTTCTTGTAAAAATTACCTTTCATGTTTATGGTGCCTGCATCTGGCCACAAGAATGAGAGTACGCGAAACACCAAAATAATTGTGCAGGTACTCACTTTTTAATCTGAATAAGACCGTTGCTCGCTTCGGAACATGCAACGAGCCTAATTTCCTTCTCCTTTTCATTACACTGCAAAAATAGACAGAAACTGAAAGCAAAATGCTTAAAAGATTGATCCAAGCTTAGGGTAAAGCGCAGTCTTTTCCAAGTCGACAAATTTGGTTATAAGTTATAGCTACTGGACGAGTGGCTCGTGCTGCTGTTACACTGTCAAAACGCACCAGCCAGAGAAAATTATTAGAGACACAGACAGGTGGTAATTTGCCTATGCCTTTCCGGGGTTCAGCGGGAAACGTGTTTCTGATTCACATTAAAATTGAATTGTCTACAAAATTCTTCTATCTTTAGGGTCGACGTCCTCCAATTAAATGGACTGCTTATGAAGTTCTGTTGTATGGAACCTATACCACCAAGAGCGCTGTGTAAGTACTTCTACTCAAGACTGGCCAATCGTTCCATAAGAATCACAGAAAGCTACCAACAGTTACCTTTATGTCAGAAGTGAGTCTATCTGACATGTTTCTGACAAATCGWGGACGCGATGATCACCGCTAAAAACACGATCTCAAGATTGACGCCAAGATTTAAAAATTCGCTCATCATTATTTGGCTGCAAATTACACTTTACATACGCGCATGTAATGTTCCAATCCACAAAGCAAAGAACTGCTTAAGGAAATCGAAGATTTGTAAGCAAAAAGATACGACGAAAACAAAATCTGGGGAGAGATTCAGAAGTTGATAGTTCAAATAATAATTAGACTACTAAAATGTTTTTAAAGTGTTTTCCTTACGATGCCGACAATACTGAAAGGACCAAGAATACTTAAAACGTTGGGGTAGGGTGGGAGGGAGTTGGCAGAAAGAGAAATGTTTTTTGTCAAATTGCACACGTGTTTGTAGCCTCCAGTTGCTTACAGATCAAGCATAAGTAAAGGTTTCTTTATGTGAGATAAGGTGAATACAAACGTGCAAGCAAGCTGCACAAGACAGTATTCAACTGTTTTGACTGCTGGGATCCCTCAACGAAAAATTTATTTTACTGAACCTAAGGGCTAGGGTGAATTACTTGTACAAGACCTGAACCATTCAGCACCCAATATTCGAAATTCGTGCATAAATGCAGGATCCCCTAGTCTATAGCACACTTGGGACGGTTTTCGGACACTAGAACTCTCCTTCAGCCAATTCTTTAATGACAAAGGATTGTAGAGAACAAGAATCGCAAGTGGCCTGTTCCATCCACGAAGATCGCAGTTTATTTTAAGAATGGTATTTCTATTTCCTACACCAAAACCGGATCGCGTAATGCGAACCATGAAAATATATCAATTGTGATTGTCATTGTTTTAACGTTTATTAATTATCTATTTCATTTCCTCGCAGATGGCGCTATGGAGTTGTCCTTTACGGGATTTTTACCATAGGTAACTTCTTATGTTTATGTATTTTTTACCGGTACTTCTGCTCAATTCGCGACAAAGAAACATAGACACAATTTCTGTTTTTTTTTTTTCCCCCACAAACTGAAGTGCCGCAACACGAGAAGCTGTTAAGAAAAAAAAGAAAACACGAGTTGTTCTCCTAAACCATTGCAATGTTTTCATAATTCCATGGAAATAAGTCTTTGCGCTTTTGCCCCAAAAAAGGAGTCGTTCGTGCTTTTCTGTAGGTGGTTCACCGTATGCAGGATCGGGTGGCAGAAAAATGACAAGCCTACTTCAGGGAGGAAAACCAATGCCTAAACCACAACATGTGGATAATAAGTTAAAAGTCTGGTCTTTAAAAATTTAACCAGCCTTTCGTAGGGCGCAATAATACATGGACACGTGTAAGTGAAATTTTGATACCTCAGGCGTTTAGTGGAACCTTACACCTTTTAGCAATTACCGTTATTCGTCATCTTTTGACTATCTGCTGCAAACT